TACTTATAGTACGCACCGTACGTAGTACGCGTAGTGCGCGTACTTCAAGCGTGCAGACCCTGAAATGGGACACAGCCTGAGGCTACGTCCACACGTACACGGGTATTTTTGAAAACGGAGATTTTCCGTTTTCGTTTTAAAAAATAATCCCGTCCACACGTAAAGGCAGAAATGAAGGAAAACGCTGCTAGGAACATGCCAAAGCAACAGGTGGCGATATATTCCTAACCGTGCAGAAATGTTGGCCAATCAGAAGTGTAGAAGCCTCGGTGGTAAATAGTAAACAAAGATGGGGCATAGAAGCAGAACCGAGTCGTATGTGTGGAGGGACAATAACTGTGTGTGTATATGTAAGCATTTAAACACTGCAGAGAGTACAATTAACAGTAATAGTATTGTAGAAATTCATTTCACCGAAACAATAACGTGGCGCACAGTGTGACGTCAAAAAATGCGCACACCTTTGACGCTGCGTTTTCTGCGTTTTCTCCGTTTTTCTTGTCCACACGTAAATGCAAAAACGGAGTTTTAAAAAATATCCACCCTGGCCGGAGTTTTAAAAAATCTCCGTTTTCAGTGACCAAAAACGCCGTTTACGTGTGGACGAAAGGTGCAAACGCATAGAAAAATCTGCGTTTTCAAAAATACCCGGGTACGTGTGGACGTAGCCTGACCCTAGAGGCCTGGAGCTCCCCATCCTGACTTAAAGAAATGGAATTTTAAAACACATGAATGAATGCAAGTTTTACATATAAAAAACTTACAATGTTCACAAGTGTTCAATATGCCCCCCTCCACACCCATAAGACAGTCAAACCTGTCCCATACACTTGTGAGCATGCAACCGCTGATGTTGTTAGGCTACCTATCAGCAGGAAAGGAGGAAACTCACAAATCTGCTCTTTCTAACATTACATGTTTCCATTGTTAACACTGAACGTCTGCAGAGTTAGAGCGCTTTGAAATCGGCTGATTCGGTTTGATACGCCCTGTATATTTTTTATTCAAACCTAATCTTAAAGACAGCACAGACTGGCAATATCCATGCATCAGCTGGATCCAAATCATACCGATGCCAGCACTGACCTTTAAAAGCCCATAAATCAAATACTTCTGTACGTGAGGTTGCATGTGTATGTGTCTGTGTCTCACTGAAGGTATCGTCCCAGCTCCTGCATGCTACATTTGGACCATTGAAAGCGGTGGAAAGCAGCTTGCACCAGAGGAGCCATGATGCTGCCCAAGTGCACCTCGTCTCCGCAGCGGTTTCCCTGGCCATCGTGCTCCATCCCCAGCCTACACAAGAGCGAGAGAAAGAAAAAAAAATGAGACATCAAGAGAGAAGTAAAGGGAAAAAAGATGAACCAGTGGAGACAGATTGGGAACGTGTGGGAGTTAAAGAACATGAAACAAAGGCGGGAGGCAGCGTTAATTCACTCAACAGATATTGACTGAAGTGGACCAGCGATCTAAAGCTGTAATGCATCAATCCAGTTCTTCAAGTGACTGCTTTGTTTTCTTTTGTTGTGCCAAGTTAGCAGGCTCGAACCATCATCACGGCAACGCACTTACACATGTCCGGTCTCGTGTGCCACCACAAAGGCGGAGGAGAAGCCGTCCTCGTGGTTCAGGGTGCAGCTCCTAACCGGGTGGCACATGCCTGTCACTGGAGCATAACCTTAGCGACAAGGAAGAGAGAGAAAAACTTGAAAGATTTATAGACACACTAAAAGATTTATAGACGCTCAAACAATGATAGAGACAAAGTGTTCCAAATAAGCGTTACAATTTTGGACAGTCAAAAGACAATCTGTGACACCGCTCAGTCAGTCAAAAGTAGTGTTTAACCTCACACTAATCTATTACATTACATGAATTTTACTTATCAAGCTCATAATCACACTGGAACATTTCTGGTCAGTCACCAAAGTCATACTGAAATACACTGATTGGTGAGATGAAACCAAAGACACACTTACCTCTCACCCCAATGTCTGACTGCTATATAAAGATATATATGATGTATGATCCACACACCCAGAAAGAAAACTGTGTCACCCACATAAGAACAAATGTGTTTGGATTTGTGTATCTGATCCTAACCCTAAACCGTCCCCTCCCACCTCTGCGTATGCTAATCTCTTGCTCCCTGTGAGCTTTTCTGTCCTGAAATGCCTTTAATTGTGACTCTGTGGCTGGCCCTTCTCTGTTTATTGATTTTCTGCTGCTTAAGGATGAGCCCAAGGGCAGCTGAAGGGTTTCTGGATAGCTAGGCCACTGCCTTTAGAGGCCTCTCCCCTGGGCCTGACTGTTAGCCTGTACTCTGCTGCACAGAAAAACCACCAACCACCAAAGCCACAGCAGCACTACGCAGCTATATGAGAGAAAGGCAGAAAGAGGAGCGATTTCTCTGAATGATGGAGTTTATTTTGTCAGGGGAGCAAATGCATTTGATTTGGATGCATGTACCATTATGCTAAACATATTATGAAAGCTGATTGTGTACATGTCTTTAAGTACCCTGCATTCCCGTGGGGCCAAATTCCTGCCGTGTGAGGAAGATGGCGTGGTCGTGATACTCGGCGTCCCCTGTGTCTTGCTTCTGTTGCAGAAAGGCCCAGCGACACACGTTCTCCAGACTCTGGGATGGGTTTCCAAGTTCAATCAGGCTCATGGACTGGAAAGACATTCACACGCAAAGGTAAAATAAGAAGAGGGATCAAAAAAAATCATACAAGAAACATCGTTTCTTGTTCTAGTTCTGAAACATTATCCTCCTCAGCCCTGTAGAGGGCAGTGTCACAATGTTATATATTGTCAGCATATCTTGTAAATTGCTGATGTGTACAACAAAAATACACACACACACATACACTCAGGGGGAAGGACAGTACTTACAAAATAATAAATGAACTCTGAATTGATCATTTCAGTCATGAACATGAACTAGAACAAAAGCAGCCTGTTAACGAGCTATGCACTAGTAGTCAAAAACATGCCCAATTACAAAATATTTACTTACAGTTACTTGCATAATGCCAACACCCACACAAACATCCAGATGCTTGCAGTTGCTTCCACTCACCTTCACCTCACACGCTCTTTCTCATTAGGATCTCTGCTTATCTACACCCCGCCCCCTTCGAAGCTTTCCATGTCTGCCTTTGCCTCTTTTCTACATTCGCTCTCTGTTTTCACGCATGCACAATGCACAGCTGAGAGAGCGCGCGCGGTGTGAGTGAGCTGCACTGAAGACATATGGCCTGCCTCTGTACACATGATGAAGTGTGAAGCCTGCACGCCGCGTAAACGCCCCGTTAGACGACGCACGGTACTCCTATGTGGTTCCTCATGTTCATCAGTTGCTCGCGAGTGTGTTTTGGGGGTATTTTTTAATGATCTTTCGAAATGTGTTTGCAATGGTGTGTCGTGTGTAAATGTTGTGTTGGAGTGTGTGAAGTGTGGGAGTGTGAGTGCGCCCGCATTCAGGGTCACACAGCCAATCTGCAGGCTGTCTGGGTGCAGCTCTGTTGCCACGGTAATTGGGAATGATGGACAGCCGGAGCTTTGGCTGAAGCTGCATAGGGGCTGGCCCAGAATGACCAATGTAGTGCGGTGTGTGTGTGTGTGTGTTTGCACACGTGTGTGGCGCTCGTGCGTGTGGGAGTGTGTGTTTCCAGAGTTCTACTGGGACCGTGGACATGTAGAGAGAGGAGAGGAAGAGATAAGGCTACAGCAGCGTAAGTATATCACAGAGCACCTATCCAGCAATAAAATCACTTGTATCATCTGTTGTGGTAATCCCTGCCCTCCTCCATTTCTGCCGTGTCTTGCTTTATCGCTCTTTTTCCTCTCTTCCACTTTTTCTCTCTTCCTCTTTTCAGCACAGATGTGCAGATAGTGTTACAGTCAAGAAGAAAAGGATGCCCCCGCCCCACCCCACCCCGCCACCCATTGTCCGGTCTCTTTCTCTTTATGAATGAGGGAGGGCTATCATTGATTGTTTATCTTTGCCTGGACTTCCCATGATTCTGTGCTGCAACCCACTGGGAAGAAGGCTGATTGCATAACGGGAAGAGCTTCTGTGTGTGCTTTGGTGCTGAACTGTGAAGGCGTGCAACTTGAAAACACTCCCTTGGGATGCTGCATGCTTTTAGTTCCTCTTTTGCTCAGTCCACTGGAATAACAGGCTCTGGGCATCAGCGTGTGCTGATGAGTATGTGGGTGTGTCTGTGTGTTTGTTTATGACACTGTATGTATGACTTTGCCATGCTTTCTATAGGTACTTAAAGCGACTGTAGCAAACTAGAGAGACGAGGCGTCCACTTTCCAGGAACTGCATCTCTGTTGGCTTTTCAGCAGAACTCGTGTAGTTGCAGGTCTTACCTTGCCGTGGCCCAGCATGATAATCCGCACCAGAACCACATTGATTTTTGCTCCTAAAGAACTGTCATGGTAGATGTCATTCACCTGGAATCATACACCGAAACACAAGGGAAAAAACAGCGTCAGTAGAAGAAATCAACCCTTTATAGAACACTTTAATATAACCTAAACAAACTCTGAGGTGTAACAAAGAACTTGGTTGATTGTAAAATAATTTGTCTGTGGTTGAAAATTTGAACAATTTTTCAAAGTTTCAAACAGGTTGACATTTTCATCAAAACGCTTATTTGCTGTCTTGGTAAGAATTGTCAGGGTGTCACTGAACAGTCACAACAGTTTTAAAGGTGTTGATGCTTTGGGATACACTCACTCGGTTCAGTGAATGCATCCCTATGGCTGTGCTGGATTCCCAACTGTGAGCTTATATTTGTATGAGTTTGGTACTAACACAGAAGGTCAAGTGGGATGTCCACCAATTAGAAGGTCGGTAGTTCAATTCTTTAATGTGCATGTCGAGTTATCCTGGGGCAACAGTATCCAAAGTATCCTTGGACACTGTACCCCAAGTGTCCCCTAGGACATCCATCAGATTGTCACTATGTGAATGGGTGAATGAGGCTTGTAATAAGAAAAATGCTTTGAATTACTGCATTCACAAAAAAACATCTTCATTCAGTGAGCGTCTCCTCACAGGTGATTCCCCTCTTTTCAAAACAGCAATGCATATTTATGTACACATGACCTGAGGCCCAATACTTGTCTTTACAAAACAAAGCTATATGTGAAAACACAAATCAGACATTAAACAGTAGATAACTTCCTAACTCCTTTGTACAACATCCATACCGTATGTTGCACATCTGAGAATAGCACAGGTGGTGAAATAACAGCAAATGAGATGGCATCATGTGCCCTGCCTTGTGCTCGCTCTATACGGCTTCCTCTCCTATCCCAGGGTATTTCCAGTAATGCGAATGTAGACTAAATGTGGACTGTGAGCTCCTACTGTGTGTTACATGTGAAAAAAAGAACAACTTCAGAGAATTTTCCAACCTGATTCTTCCACCGTTTTCTGGAGGCTGTGTGTAAAAACAGCTATGCACACCTGCAATCCACGATTGGTCCATTCAGAACATGCATGCTTCAATGCATGCTTCAATCGAGGATTGCACTAGTCTAACTAATAAAGGAAGTACGCGTGAGCAATAATCGTATTTCAGATAAAAATTATTTCCTGTTACACCTTCAATACACTTCAGGCTGCTTGCGAACGGCTAAGATGTGCAGCTGCACCGGCCACCTGGCTGTCGGTTGGCTCCCCAAAGGCAGAAAACTGTATTCTATAGCGACATCTCGAAATATGG